CTCCCCCCTGCCAGGAGCTCGGTGTACCCTCCATTTCCCCTTTCTCTCCCCCCCAGGGTCTCTGTATGCCCCCCATTAGCTCCACCCCCCATGCCAGAGCTTCTCTGTCCCCCCACCTCCACTTGGGCGCTGTCCACACATTTTACCCTGGATCAAGGCCCAACAACCGCTGCGGTTGTTGCCCCTTCCCCCCTGCCCTCCCTTCCAGTGCTTACGTATTGGTGCTCCCCGGCCACGCGCTCCCCCCGCCATGCACTGCTCTCGCACAGCGCCTCCTTCTCCGAACCCCCGTCTCCTCCCGGTCGGGGTGCCTCCCCCGCCTGCTCCCCCTCCAGCCGGTGCGTGCGGCGGTGCCGGCTCAGCGTGGCGCTCTGGCTGAAGATGCGGCCGCACTGGGGGCAGGCGAAGGGCTTCTCGCCGGTGTGGACGCGGCAGTGGGCGGCCAGGTGGGGGCGCTGGCTGAAGCGCTTGCCGCACTGGGGGCAGGGGTAGGGCCGCTCGCCGGTGTGGGTGCGCTGGTGCAGGATGGCGGCGGAGCTTTTGCCGAAGGCCTTGCCGCACTGCTCGCAGCGGTAGGGCCGTTCACCGGTGTGGGTGCGCTGGTGCTTGAGGAGGTTGGAGCTCTGGCTGAAGGCCTTGCCGCAGGCCGGGCAGCGGTAGGGCCGCTCGCCGGTGTGGGTGCGCTGGTGGCGGATCAGGGTGGAGCTCTCCCCAAACCCTTTGCCGCACTGGGCGCACCGGAAAGGCTTGTGGCCCAGGTGGCCCCTGCGGTGTTTGAGGAGGTTGGAGGTCTGTCTGAAGCTCTGCCCGCACTCGGGGCACTGGTGGGGCCGCTGGCCCCCGTGGGTCTGCCGGTGGGTGCGCAGGTGCTGGCTCTGGGAGAAGCTCTTCCCGCACTGGGTGCAGAGGAAGGGACGCTCGCCCGTGTGGACCCGCTGGTGGGCCAGGAGGTGCTGGCTCTGGGCGAAGGCCTTGCCGCATTCAACGCACCGGTAGGGCTTCTGACCCAGGTGGGCGCGACGGTGACGCAGCAAGTTCGAGCTCAGGCTGAAGGTTTTCCCGCAGTCGGCGCAGGCGCCGGGACGCCGGGATGCCGGTGGGTCTAGGAGATCCCGCTCAGTGGGGTTTTCCCCGGCCCCGCACAAGCTCTGCTGGGAGATGTCCCCTCGGGGTCGCCCAGCCCCTAGTGGGGTGGTGGAAGTAAGGTGATCTTGCTCCACGGGGTTTCCCCCTGCCCCAGGCTGGAT